TCGGGGTAGATAATGTGGCCGACATTTCACTGTTATTTGCTCCAAAGCCTTCGAGCATGAGCTATTTACAACAGTACAGTTCGTGGACCAACTTTTACTCACGTAAATGCATACTCCGCCCCCCCGTGATTTCCCCGTTAGCTCACTGCAGCGGTTCGCTCGAAAAAAAAAGTCTGTCATCCAGCTGGAAGACTGAGTCCGGCGTTTCACTTGTAATCCACGTTCCGTGAGGCAAAGCAAAACATCAGAGCACAGGTAAAAACCAGGTGATTCATGTCAGTAGATTATCAGAGTCAGAGAGATTTATTTGTCATGTGGTGGAACGAGATTATGTACACAGGGTCCCAGTTATATCCAACAATAAAATGTAAAAGAAAAACAGTACTAAGATCTAAGATATGAACTAAGAAAAACATCAACTAAATATACACTAAGCATTAATAGCATAAAAACAATAAACACAATACGCCGAACAGCAGCATGGACATGAGTCTGTGTGAACAGATGAGTACAAATGAACACAGCAACATGAAACAGATCAGCAGCAACATGATGTGATTCTTCACAGTGATTGTTCTGGTTAGAAATTCATGAGTCTAACAGCCTCAGGGTAGAAGTTGTTCCTCAGTCTAGTGGTTCTGCACTTAATGCTCCTCAACCTCCTTCCTGGGGGAAGCGGGGCAAAAAGTGTGTGTGCTGGGTGAGTGGGGTCCTTCACGATGCAGGTGGCCCTCTTCCTGCATCTAGAGGTGTAGATGTCTGTGATGGTGGGGAGGCTGACTCCAACATCTTCTGTGCAGCCTTCACCACTGTAGTGAACTAAGCCTCAGGTCAAAATCTGGCCTTGAGGGCCTGCCTGGAACAAGAACTGTATTTCATTGATTTGAGTCCAGAAACACAAGATTAAGTTCATCCAGAGACTTTCTCTTGTCCTGCACTGATCAATTGAAAGAACACTCTCTTTTTCTATTATCATTACTATTTTACAAATGTTTGATAATCAAAGTGTGTTTAGTTCAAACCATTTTTAAATGTTGAAGTGAACTACTCATTTTTAATCAACTGTGAAACAGTATTAGTGATTTTTAATCCTCATGCAAAGTAGAAATCACGTTAAGGTCTGTTACAGAGTAATTATGCATTTTCTGATTTTCTGTCTTTGAATGAGCAAGTGTAAGTTTGTCCAAGGTTGGAGTCAAACGCAAAACAAGTTGTTGGAACGAACTGTCATGTTTTTAAATCCTCTCAGACGTAAATATAGAGGCTGGCACCTGTTTTCCCCCAACTCGCCTAAATATTCCTCTCGTCTGTCTTTAAAACATTTTCAATCTGTTCCATAACATTCTTGCTGTTTTTCTGACTTCTAGTGACCTCTTACGTCACAAAAACACACCCCTGTCTGGTCGAAACGACCAATCAGGAACCTCCCAAATGAACCGGAAACAGAACTCTTTAAATGTCGGTACTTCCTAGTTCAAACCAGTCGCTTCAGGCTCCGGCTTCAGTCGTTTGCAGCTCCAGTGCTGGGAAAACAGAAGTCCAGGCATGATCCAGAGCTCTTCCGAGTCTTGTGGGGATCATGACATCTTCCACCTCTGAGTGGAACTTCTGACGGACTCCACTCATGTGAGTCCACCAAGAGGTGAACTTGTGTCGAACAAGTACCGTCACTACTTCGGACGATTCACAGCTGTTCCTACGGAGACGCTGAAAGGGTGCATTAAATGGAACTTCGTACCAGTGGAGACATCTCCAGGTAAAGAGTTGATTTATACCACCTAAGTGTACCGGGGAAGAAGCTGGGAACTCACCGGAGAGTGCCGTTCTGATGCCGACACACACATTTCCCTCATCCATCCTTTCTCTCAACTTAAACTTCATTTCCATCTTTAAACTCTTCTATCTGCTAGAAATTATTCCAGATATTTTTAGAAATGTCTGTTGTACAGCTGGAAGCAAGGGAAACAATCGCCGTATTGTTTCCTCCTTGTAAAACTTGATAAATTAGCCATGTTGTTATTTTTCAATTTGCCAATTAATGTAAATGTGTGATGTTAAACTTTGATTCTGTAAATAAATGACCGCATTCATTTTGATGGGTCAAAGAAAATTAACGTCTCACGATACATTTTATCAAATTCAATGCACGAAATTATTCAGTCCAGAAAAATGAAAGAATCCGTTTAATTTATGAATATATCACAGAATATGTTCATCTACACCACTCTCTGCAAAGCTTTTCTTTCTGCAGCTGTGCAGCCTCCATGCCACACGTTGATGCTGGAGCACAGGATGCTCTCCACTGCACACCTGTAGAAGGAGGTGAGGACTGAGCTTCCCAGACCAGCTCCTCTCAGCCGCCTGAGGAAGTACAGTCTCTGATGAGCTTTCTTGATCAGGCTGGTGGTGTTGTTGCTCCAGCTGAGGTTTTCATTCAGGTTGTCATTCATTCATTTATGTATTTTTATTAATTCCTTGAACCTTTATATCTATGCCCATATATCAATTAAATCATTAGTAATTTTATTTAATCATTTCATGTTGACAAGGGGGCAGGACGGTGGCACAACTAGTAGAGCTGCTGCCTCTCAGCGAGCAGGTCCCTGGTTCAAACCCTGGTCCAGGGGCCTTTCTGGGTGGAGTTTGCATGTTCTCTCCGTGCATGCGTGGGTTTTCTCCGGGTACTCCGGTTTCCTCCCACAGACCAAAAACATGCATGTTAGGCTGATTGGTAACTCTAAATTGTCCCTAGGTGTGAGTGAGAGAGTGAATGGTTGTTTGTCTCGTTTGTCTCTATGTGTCCCTGTGATGGACTTGCGACCTGTCCAGGGTGTACCCCGCCCCTCGCACAGTGATTGCTGGACATGGGCACCAGTGACCCCCGTGACCCAAAATGGAACAAACGGGTAAAGATAATGGATGGATGGATGGATGTTGACAAGGAGGATATGCTGGTATCACAGCATGTTCCACTGAGACAAATAAATGGTAAATGGACTGTACTTAAAATATATAACACATTTCTATCTAATCAAGATACTCAAAGCTCTTTGCAACATGATCTGTGTCCTCATTTACCTCCAACACACACATTCATACAGCACTCTCTCAGAGCTTCAGATCACATTCATCTGATGGGACACACATCAGAGGCAATGAGGGGTTCAGTGTCTGGCCCAGGAATACTTCAACATGGCTGCTTGTGTAATCAAGCCCCCAAATCCCCCATTGGAGGACAACTGCTCTAACCAACAGCCACATCTGCCCCGAATAATGGCTGGTAGTTTTGTAGTTTTAAACCCAATGCTTGTAGTGAGAAGAAAGGGATCCGTATTGCCAGACTGTCTGAGCTATGTGATCACTTGAATATAAAGATCATATAAAGTCCCTCCATTTGTTAAATCTTGCTGTGATGGACTGGAGAGCTGTCCATGTGTCCCCCGCCTCTCGCACAGTGACAGTTGGATATGGTCGCCAGTGACTCCTGTAACCCGAAGAGAAAGAAGCGGATCAAGATAATGGATAGATATATGTTACATCTTGGTTGTTTGTTTAATTATGACAAACAATAAGAACAAGTCAAAAGCTAGGCATGAAATGTATTCCTTGTATTTGTCCACTCGGTGTTTGTCTCTGCTGTAGGACTGATGGTTTTCTCTTTAACCCCCCAGTGGTCAGAGATCACACACCGAAACACTCATTGACTTCCACTGTATCTGAACTCAGACATTCCCAACAGGAAGTCAGGGCTTTTTTAAATTAGTCATATCCCCTCCATTAAACATCAGAACCAAAATATGACATGTTTGAACCTTCTGCTGCTTTTCAATTAATTAAAAAATATCACTAAAATACATAAACAGTGTGCATTGTATCAATGAAGGGTGGCGGCAAAGGTCAAAGAAAAAGTTTACAAGACAGTGGTGAGACCAGCTATGTTGTCTGGTCTGGAGACAGAGACACGGACAAAAAGACAGGAGACAAAACTGGAAGTAGCAGAAATGATGGTGCGGTTCTCCTTACGAGTGACAAGGATGGATACGATTAGGAATGAGATCATCAGAGGTACAGCAAAGGTTGAACAACTGGGAGAAAAAGTAAGAAAACTTACTGTGGCAACCCCAGAAGAGGGAAAAGCCAAAAGAAGGTCTCTCTAAATCAAGTTCAGTCAAAACTGGTTTAAATTTAGCTGTCAAACTGAAAAAAAAAAACCTTTCTATTGAACAGACATAATCTCTTTGTTAAACTTCAAACCCTGAAACTACACCCAGATTCATGATGAACCATTAAAGATCTGTTTGACGGAACATTTTAGTAGAGGCTGGATAGAGGACGAATAATTTGGCTTTATTTAGAGCTCAGAAAGTATTCATAGGATAGGAACTTCAAAATCTTTCCAGTTTTTAGATATATTTTCTTTGAAAGTCTCTTTTTATACCCAGTCCTCTTACTGACCTGTTGACGATTAGCCTAATTAGTTACCAAATGCTGCTTCAGCTGTTTATTATTCATACCACTGACCGTAACAGAATTAGTTGCTCCTGTCTCATATTTTTTAGATGTGGTGCTGCCATACAATTCAGTATTATCATATTTTATTTAAAATGGTGTGATTTCTTAGTTTAAACATTTTGTATGTTTACTATGTTCTATTGTGAATAAAATATGGATTTATGAGATTAACTAAGACTGACATTCTGTTTTATTTACAGTTTCCACAGCATCTCAACTTTTTTGGGACTGGAGTTGTAGAAGGACGTTGTTATAGTTTCATGCAGTAGCTTCACTGGAACTTTCCAACCTTTCTGCAGAAAATGTATCATTTTCTGTTTCTTGGGAAGTTTCACTGAGATACAACATATTTAAGGTTTCCTGTTAGTAACAAATGACTACATAACTAGTTGTATGACTTTGAGACTCTGTGATGTCTTGAGATTTAATCTACTACAACACAATGCTCATGTTTATTTGTTTGTTTGTTTGTTTGTTTGTTTGTGCAGTAACTTCCACATACGAATATGAGCCTGGGTCTCTTACATAGATCCTGAAGAAGACAGATGTCTCACTCAAACCCGTTTCTGCCTCGATTCAGTGCCTATCCTTTCCACCAAGAGTCTTCTTCCGAAGAGGACTGTGACCAGAACTCTGAGCAGCACAGAGGATGGTTCTGGATCCTTCCGTCTCTTCCAGTAGATGTTGTTCCTGCACAAAGTTGTCGTCCAGACTAAACCCATGTGGTCTGTGACGGCTTGAGACAAACCAGAAGAACAGTGCTGCATAACTTCAGTGCTTTGCAGTCTGTCTGCGCTGCAGACTGGACTCTTGTCTAAAAGCACACCTTTAAAGGGCAAACAGTGAGGAGCTATGCAATCTTTCTTCCTGATGTGCATGTTGTATATAGCTTCCAGCTGGTGAGTTTGTTTTAGTAAAGTGTCTGGTGCACACTGACAATCATAGTAAACTGTAGCTCAGTTGATGGAAGGGCTCTTTGTCATCTCACCTGTAAGTCTGGCTTTCGTACACCACCTCCTGCCAACAGGTAACTCTATCAAACAGCTTTTCAATGTTTTCTGGCTCTACAAATAAAACATTTTTCTGCCCAACGATGTTTCCTGGAGTTTTCTTTTCTTTTCTGAGAGAAAACCGATCGTGCCACCAAATCCAGCAACTGGCGGCATATTAGACCAGTCAGAATAATAAAAAAAAAAAAACTCATTTATTTCTTTTCTGATGGGCCCTAATACACCATCATATTATTTCACAGTCAATAAAGGTTCTGTTCAGGAGGTAGAAAATATCTACAGATGATGCTTTTGCTCCACCTGATGCATTACTTTTAGTTGTTTCGTGAAGAGGGAGTCAATTGGAAACACCCAAATGCAGACTGGAAGACTTTTAGGAGGTTCAGGTTCAGATTCAGGTTTGGTTTATTGTCATATGTAAAATCAACACAACGTCAACAATACAATGAAATGCTCAGGACAAGAAGAACTGTCTTGACTCCCCAAAAAAACAACAGCAAATATCAAAGCAACAAAAATACAAAAACAAGGTACCAAAAGCAAAAAATAAATAAATCTACAGCAGCATGGTCCCATTAGCAGAGTGGTTCTGATGACAGTGAAATTTCTCTTAGCAATATGGTCCTGTTGGCACCATGGTACTGTTAGTGGTGTGGTTCGGTTAGTAGCATGGTCTTCGTAGCAGCGTTAGTAGGTCTTGTTAGCAGGTCCCGTCAGCAGCTTGATAATAATAATGATCGCAGCAGCTGCCTCCCAGACTGCCCTCCAGAACCGGGTCCAGCAGACAAAGAACATCCAGGTTTCCCTGCAGAACCGAACGGGTCCATAGAGTACAGTTTGTGCAAGCAGAGGGAGGATCCTGTTAGCAGCGTCAGCAGGTCCTGTCAGCAGCTTGATGGTGATAACGACTGCAGCAGCTGCTGTTCCAGACTGCCGCCACAACCAAGTTTCACGGGCGGAGAACATCCAAGGTTCCTCTGCGGAACCTGACGGGTCCGTAATGTTCGGTCCATGCGGCAGATGGAGGATCATGGAGACGACCACCATGACAGACCTGTAGTGTTGGAGTACTTGAGACCGGTCTTCACCACTTTTTGATGGTCTCCGTCTTGTCTCGGACTCGACCGCATTTGATCTCGGTCTTGTCTCGGACTCGACCGCATTTGATCTCGGTCTTGTCTCGGTCTTTGACATTGAGGACTTGGGATTTTATTTCAAGACCAGTCAAGACCACAACTGTGGAAGTATCACTAAATTCCCAGAATATTGTCCAGTTAATTTGTCAACATCTTTGTTTTTATTGGCTGCAAAACGTACTGATTAAAATCCAAGAGATAACGTGACTCATTGCTAAATACATTTTTTGTTACCGCTGTCATGCCCACCCACTTTCACTCGCACGTCACTCCCAGTGTGGCCAGATAGGGTGGTTTACTGCCAATTGGGCAGTTTTCATTCTGATTTTGCTGGGAACTCTGGGAAGATTTTTGTTGGATTGTTGCATTTTGCCACATATTGTTAAGTTACCTTGGCTTGTACTGATGTGCGTTCATGTTCAAACAGTAAATATACTTTAGCAATATATTGATTGGGCAGATTTTTGTCTGATATGGTGGTTTTTAACAGATTTTTGGGCTGGAAAACCTCGACTCTATCTGGAAACACTGGTCACTCCTAGAAAATGAGAAGTGATGGGCGTGGGAGAAGATATCTGCCATATCATCAGTTATAAAGTTCTCCTATTTAAATTACAAAGAATATACTCGTAACTAATGCAACTATATATTTATCCTTGGCCTTGAGTTTGGAATTATTAAGCATGTTTTGCCACTGCAGTTTTTTAAGGCTTGGCATGTGATGAAACTGCTTCTAGTTTACCAGTTGTGACATTTTATCGTTGAATCACATGAAGTTAGGCCACTGAATGTCTGATTCTTTGTTATGTAGCTTTGAAAATGTACAAACCAGATTCCAAAAAAGTTGGGACACTAAACAAATTGTGAATGAAAACTGAATGCAATGATGTGGAGATGGCAAATGTCAATATTTTATTCGTAATATAACATAGATGACAGATCAAAAGTTTAATCTGAGTAAATGTAACATTTTAAAGGAAAAATATGTTGATTCAAAATTTCACAGTGTCAACAAATCCCAAAAAGTTGGGACAAGTAGCAATAAGTGGCTGGAAAAAGGAAATTGAGCATATAAGGAACAGCTGGAAGACCAATTAACACTAATAAGGTCAATTGACAACATGATTGGGTATAAAAAGAGCTTCTCAGAGTGTCAGTGTCTCTCAGAAACCAAGATGGTAAGAGGATCACCAATTCCCCCATTGTTGCGCAGAAAGATAGTGCAGCAATACCAAAATGGTGTTACCCAGCGTAAAATAGCAAAGACTTTTAAGTTATCATCATCAACCTGTCAGGATTTGTTGGACAGGAACGAACCCAGTAGTGCAGACAGGACTCAACTCGGCAGATTACAAAAATAAGTATTTTAATAGTAAATAAAGAACAAAATAACAGCTGACGTGGCAGCAAAACTTACAAATAGATGGAAGGCTCAGAGGGAAACTCAGGGAGCTCAGGGGAGACGCAGGAGAACGCAGGAGAACACAGGAGAACGCAGAGACCCAACGAATACGACCCGACGAGGAACAAGACAGAACAGACAGCTTTTATACAAGGACAAAACGAGACGTGATTACAAACAGCTGTGACGAGACAAGGGTGGCATCAATTAAACTAAAGAGAACACACAAGGGACAAACAGACACAAACAGGGCCAGTAAATGGTACCATCCTTACACAACCATGCATAACATCATCAAAAGATTCAGAGAATCTGGAACAATCGCTGTACGTAAGGGTCAAGGCCGTAAAACTCTACTGGATGCTCGTGATCTCCGGGCCCTTAAACATCACTGCACCTCAAACAGGAATGCCACTGTCAAGGAAATAACAGAATGGGCTCAGGAATACTTCCAGAAACATTGTCAGTGAAGACAATCCACCGTGCCATCCGCCGTTGCTAGCTGAAACTCTACAGTGCAAAGAGGAAGCTATTTCTTTTTTTTTATTTTTTTTATTTTTTTTATTTTTTTTTCTTGTGATGGCCTCCCTTCTCCCCTTACAGCCATCCTCTCCACACCATTATTATGAAATATTTATTATAGTGACTATCTAGTGTAGGTGTTTTTTTTTAATAGAATAGAAAGAAAGAAAAGACAAAGTAAGACTCCAAAATATAAGAAATATACACAAAGAGAGCACACGTCAAAACACCCGGCCACTGTCTGTTCACCTGCAAAGAACAGGACAAAACACAGCAACAAAATACATATGTATAAAGAACTTAAAATATTCATGGCTTTGCAGTAAGTTTCCATAAATATATATACCCATACCTACGCCTATATACATACATACATAAATAGACATGAATATACACTCACATACATATCTATATATCTACATTTAAAGCCTACATAAGCATCCCTGCTTCTATTTGTGTGTGGTTGTGAGCATGCATAAGTGAGAGGAAGCTATTTCTAAGCAAGCTCCACAAGCTCAGACGTTTGCACTGGGCCAGGGGTCATTTAAAAGGGAGTGTGGCAAAATGGAAGACTGTTCTGTGGTCAGATGAGCCACGATTTGAAGTTCTTTATGGAACACTGTGACGCCATGTCATCCGGACCAGAGAGGACAAGGATAGCCCAAGTTGTTATCAACGCTCCGTTCAGAAGCCTGCATCACTGATGGTATGGGGTTGCATGAGCGCTTGTGGCATGGGCAGCTTGCATGTCTGGAAAGGCACCATTAATGCAGAGAACTATGTTCAGGTTCTAGAACAACATATGCTCCCATCTAGACGTCATCTCTTTCAGGGAAGACCCTGCATTTTTCAACACGATAATGCCAGACCACATTCTGCAGCAATCACAACATCATGGCTACGTAGGAGAAGGACCGGGGATGGGTCCAGGGACTGAAATGGCCAGCCTGCAGTCCAGATCTTTCACCTATAGAGAACATTTGGCGCATCATAAAGAGGAAGGTGCGACAAAGAAGGCCCAAGATGATTGAACAGTTAGAGGCCTGTATTAGACATGAATGGGAGAGCATTCCTATTTCTAAACTTGAGAAACTGGTCTCCTCTGTCCCCAGACGTATGTTGAGTGTTGTAAGAAAAAGGGGGGATGCCACACAGTGTTAAAAATTGACTTATTCCAACTTTTTTGGGATTTGTTGACGCCATGAAATTTGGAAACAACAGATTTTTCCCTTAAAATGATACATTCTCTCAGTTTAAACTTCTGATCTGTGATTTGTGTTCTATTCTGAATAAAATATTAGATGTTGGCACCTCCACATTCAGTTTTTATTCACAATTTGTTTAGTGTCCCAACTTTTTTGGAATCTGGTTTGTATAAAAGCTGATATATTCATTCAAAAGCAAACTTAAAGTTGCAGCATGTAACTTTTATACAAATATTTTATAATAACATGTTATATTTTATTTATTTTATTTGAGGTATTGGTCTCGACTTGGTCTCGGACCCTAAAAGTCTTGGTCTTGTCTCAGTCTTGGTGTACTCTGGTCTTGGTCTTGACTCGGTCTCGGGTTAGGTGGTCTTGAACACAACACTACAGGCCAGAGCCTGAGCCTGAGGCTGGAGGGGGGCTGGGAACTGAACCATGACGGCAAGGCAGCAACACACAAAACTCCACAAGTGTGTTGCGGTCATACCTGTACCATGGGTGTGGAGTATAGGCACAAAAAAAGTTAAAAACAACAGGAAAAAAAATTGAGTCAAAGTGGAGCTCCTGTCAGTGTTACCATTCTGCGGCACATGTGACATCAGAGTCAGAGGTTTGTGAGAACGGCAGAGATCATTAAGTCACCCCTCCCATCCATCAGGGCATTGGTCTCAGACTTTGTCTGAAATAAAATCAAAAGAGACAACTTACACCCATGGACTGTTTACTCTGTTGACC